AACAAAAAGCCCAACTCTCTGCATTTGAGAAAGTAGTAAGGAGTTTTATTGTCAAAACAAGATACAAGCACAACAGAAGACACAAATAAATTAATTGTTCAGGTAATTCTAGACTCCAGGATCTTTCTATGGAAAGGTCAACTCCTATATAGAATATCCAATCCAAAATCAGCAGGTATTTGAGACAAAGCTCAAGACAGTGACTGAACATGTAGACAGAGGAGAGCAATAAAAAGGCAGTTTCCCGATTTTCTTTCCTCGGTAAGTTACGGTTGTGTATAAAGGTACAAGGCTTTAGGGAGGAAATGCTTTCTTATAGAAAATGTTCATTTCTTCCATGCCCCAATGGGAGGAAAAAAAGGTGTCCAACCCTGGGCTGAACAAGGAAATAATAAAAAAGAAGTGATAGTAGTTTTTCATGAGCCTCAAAGCTATCATCTGGCTGTAGTTACCATTCACATTAAACCTGCACACTGAAATTTTCTCCCTTATGAAGTTTTTAAAGTGCAAGAAAGGATTTGCAAAACTAGTGTTTGATCTGTGTGACACACACACAAGCGAAGCATTCTTCGGACAGCACTGGCCGCAGGACAAGGTGATCTATTAGGTCCACCAGGAAGCAAGGAGAGGTCAGTTTCAGCACAAGTCTGGCTCTTAATTGTACTCAGATCTCAGACAGATCTTAGTCCTCCTAACCAGTCATGCCAGAACACAATACCAGCCCAGTGTCCAGAAGTGAGAAGGACCCAGGTTGTTTAGGCTTGTTAGTGGACACCTCTACGTTATGAATTGCTGGTGCTCACATCGATAGTGGTCTAAGAATTATGAAGTCTGGGTTTGGAAACTGCACAAACAGTATTTACCTAGAAAGTCATGATCAAATCTCTTACCTGGAGGAAATGATACAAAAATAGGTCATGAGGTCTCCCATATCACTGCTAGGATTATTTAGTCTAAATTAAAGTGGTACAAAATGGCTTCTTCCAAACAATAAGGACAAGCTTTGCACTAATGTTTCTCAAAAGCCAATGATGTCGCCAGCTCTACCCTTGGTTTAACGTTTTCTTTGTTGTTGTTTTTTTAATTATACCTTTCCTATGTCAGAGCCAAGGTAATAGGGGTATGGGGGACTCAAACCTAGAACAGAAAGAGCTCTAGAACCCAGTGGGCATGAGCACATTCAAATCTCGGGGTTTGAGGTTATGGGTCTGGGGTGCTTGTTTCTTCCCTTCTATCACTGGGATGTCCATCTTGGGCGACTTAAAGGCTGCTGGATCCCCTGCCATCCAGGTGGCCTGCACACAGATCATTTCCACTGGAGTGGGCTTCTGGGCTCCTCTGCAGGCCTGGGTGGCAAAACCTCCTGAATCAGATTTCTGGAGGGGTCTCGGTCCAAAGAATCTCCATTTATCTAATGGGTTTCTGTCCTTATCCCCACTTCCAGGATCCATGGTGCTAGGATTTGGGCCAGGTAAGGCTGTGGAAGGACCAGAAGTGAACCAGCCTCTGGATTTCTGCTTAAGGGAAGAGTGTGGGGTGCTGCTTGGGGTGGACTGGGCAGATGTAGGCTGCTTCTCTTCCTTTGTGATCTCTCCACTCTGCAGTTTTAGTTTGTGGAGTGCTTCTGCCACTCGAAGGTACTTGATCTCCTTGGTGGTGAGGCCCTTGTGGGGCGTGTAGCCAGCATCTCTCAACCCTGCCTGCTGCTCAAACCGTTGAATGCTCTCCTGGGTCTGTTTTGTGATCAGAGAATTCATGATGATATGGGTGGCTTTAGCCTTCACCACTGGGACTTTGTCCATACTGTCAGTGGCCGATGACAGGGTCATGGCTGGGGAGGATACACTGGCCTCTCCTTCCTCCACCTTGGCGAGGTGCTGATACTTGCTCTCTGGAATCACTGGCTTCCAGGGGATGCTGCCCAAGTCTGATGGAGGAGAGGTCATGAGTGTAAGGTCCTCGAGGGCGTCGTCATAGCTGAATGCCCGGCGATACATCCCTATGGGCAGGGACATCTTGCCTAGAGGCCCACCAGGCTCAAGCGCAGGCACTTCTGGTTGTCTTGAAGCCATTGACAAGACTGGGATCAAGATGCTTTTTCTATATAGAACTCCAGAGTTGAGTCCCTGCCACCACCGTGAAATGATGTGATGATTATGCTGACAGTCAGATAATAATGAGGAACATGGTCCAGCTGTTGCAAGTTAGCAAAGCTTCCCAGGAAGAGTCCATCCCTCGCCACCAGCGTGGGGCTCCCTGCAGCTCGAGCTCTGGCACTAAAGAGGCTTCAAGGACCCACGTCTCCCGAAGCACTGTGGCGCAGTCCAGACCCAAGCCATGGCGCGGACAACGCTGAGTCGGCAGCAACTAGGGCCTAAAACGCCAACCGGCAAACACCGGCTGCCAGGACGCAGCCGGTGGCCTCAGCGAAAAAGCTCAGGAGTCCCTCTCTTAATGTCCTCCCTAGAAAGCCTCTAGCACAGCTGTATTGTTCGTTATTTTCACCTTCCTCCCGTTCACTGCAGTGAGGGAAGGGTTCCTCCTTGATGCTCAGGCTAATCCTCAAATTTCTAGTTTGCTCAGAAACTTGCACTTCCATTAGCTTATCCTCACATCTTTAACCTCTTACTCTCTAATGACTCTTCCCTCAGCACAATAAATATATTCAAGTTTTTACCATTCTGAAAACTGTTTTAAACCAAGAATGTTCTTGATGAAGGAATAAAAAAATGTTAACTATACAGAATCTTGACCTTGATTACATTTCTTAGGATTCTGAGTGAAGAAATGGCAAGTAAACATAAAGAACTGATGCATACCAAAGCATGATGGTGGTCTCAAGGAAAAGGACTCAGGAGAACATTCAAATTGGTGGCAGACCCACCTGCTTTTTCATGGAACACCATTTTACTGGAAAGAATGACTACAAACAACGATTGCTTGCACTTGAGTAGTTGGCAGACCTTTTTTTTTTAAGTTTTTATTGTGAATTGAGTGATAGTTTACATGGGGGACCATCAGTTTTACACTCATCCTATTGTATTTATTTCATTGCAATGACTACAATTCCCTGCGTGCTTCATCGTTCAACAGTATTTGCTTCTATTTCCGCTGCCTTTTACTTTATTTTTTTTGGATGTGCACCAAAACACTCAGGAATATACAATAATTCAAACAGCCAAAGGGCACATCCTGAAAGCCTGCACATACTCTCACTCCCGTTTGGCAGACTTTTAAAAAATGAATTAAATTAGTCTTTTACTTCTAGGAAAAGACTGGCAGTATTTGTTGCCAATGATAAAATTCAAGTCTTCAGAAAAACTGGCATTTTGAAAGATTTTTATCCATTATTGTGAGCATGACAGCTTTTCAATACTTAGAGGTTTTTCTGATGAGGTTGGTCTGAATTGATCAAAAAGGAAATTTTAAATAACTACATTCTTACAGATTTAAAGACTTTATGCTGGTCACAAAAAGTTCAGGGAAAGCACAAAAACAAGTGCTAAAAATTCTTGGGATACAAGAAGTGATTCTTGGTCTAGGATTGGAATGTATATTAAATTAGATGTAATATAAACTAAAATACTAAGAAAATTTATTTACGTACACTAGATCTGTTCAAAAAGTATCTTACATTAAGCTAGATAACAGGAACTACAAGTAGGTGATGATATCAAAATAAGAAAAACAAGTATGTTCCTCCTTAGTAGCAAGCTGTAATACATTTCAGTGTAACTCTGAAACAAATATAAATCAACTATTAATTATTGAAAACAAATTCATTTTATTCCCAAGTTTGAGTGCTATCATGAAGTAAGAGATGCTAGTTTATTTATATACTCACGATTCCCAACATCCTCTACAAAAATCATGTCCACAGGGCATATCCACAGGGTCTTCAAATATAGAAATACTGCACATACAAATGTCACACTGGAGATATAAAAAGGAACAATCATGTAAATAAAGTCATCTCTTAGAGGAAGAACAATAACTCCATTTTTGTCTTTAGTTTAGAAACAAAAGTAGACTAGCAATTATAAATTTTAAAAGTTAAATTTTAAAAAATAAGCTATAGGAGAGTTACAGTGTGCTATCTTTGAACAACATATACTATACTTATGAATCCATGGTTGTAGGATTCAAAGAGTTCAATGTAAAAATCAAACTCTTAAATTCCAAATTTATATATTAAATTTATTTGCAACTGTACATTGGAAATGAAACTATGTGAGACAAATAATTACGATTTGTTCAGGTCAAGATCCAATTTCATGTTGCAAAATAACCGTTTCAATATCATGTCTTTCATCCTATGCTTACCCCAGAAGATCTATAAAAAGTTATTTTGTGTTTTCAATACAGCAACTGAGGATATGGAGCTGTAGATTAATGCGCCAGACTGCAAAGCCGTTTGAACTACAAGGTCAGCAGTTCAAGCTCACCAGCTGCTCCTGGGAAACCCTATACAGGGTCGCTATGGGTCAGAATCGACTCGACAGCACTAAACAACAACAACTCAGGGATACATTCTTATCAACGGAGAAAAGATTGAAGTTGTCAAGGACTTCATCCTTCTTGGACCAACTATCAACACTCAAGGAAGCAGCAGTCAAGAATCAAACAATGTATTGCATTAGGCAAATCTGCTGCACAAGACCTTTCTAAAGTGTTCAAGAGCAAAGACGTCAGCTTGAGGACTAAGGTATGCCTTACCCCAGCCATGGTATTTTCAATAACCTCATATGCATGCGAAAGTTGGACAGTGAATAAGGAAGACCATACAAGAATTGATGCTTTTGAGTTATGGTGCTGGAGGAGAATACTGAAAGTGCCATGGGCTGCCAAAAGAACCACTAGAGCCGTTTTGGAAGAAGTGCGGCCAGAGTGCTTCTTGGAGGCCAAGATGGCCAAACTTCGTCTCTCATACTTCAGACATACTGTCAGGAAGGACCAGTCGCTGGAGAAGGATATCATGTTTGGTAAGGAGGAGGGTCAGAAAAAAGAGGAAGACCCCAATGAGATGGACTGGCCAGGTGGCAGCATCGATGGACTCAAGGGTGGCAACAGTAGTGAGGTTGGCCCAGGATCAGGCAGTGTTTCGTTCTGCTGTGCATAGGGTCTGTATGAGTCGGTACCGACTCGATAGCACCTAACAACAACATCTCAGGGATCCACCCCCTACCCACTAAACACTATGTTTTTCTCAATGATGTTCAATGAGAAGCAAATTTGTAATATTACAAATGTTAGTTATAGAGGTAGAATTCTATTTTCCAAAAAGGCCTAACTAAATCAAATTAAGAGTTTTCATATTTATCACATATTGAGTAGTTAAATCATTCAAGATAATGCCAAAACTTCCTATAACAGCACACCTATGGTAAGCCAATTAAAAGTAAAAAAAAAAAAAAAAGTAAATATAATATTACTATTTCTCAATAAAAAGGAAACATTCATTATCAAATGTATCATGATTTGTCCAAAAGCTTTAATAAAGCAAGCATATGTATTATGTCTTAGATGCTTAAAAATTAATAAATAGCTTTCAAGAAGTTATAAAAAATGTTTTCCTATTTTTAATTTATAGTACCTATCACAAACTCTTTCAACTCTTATTAATAATATAAGTTATGCTATATTTAAGAAATAGGCAACAGGAGCTTTTAAGTGAAAATACAGCTGATAGGTTCTCCCAAACTTATGTTTTGTTTTCAAACAAGCAAGGAAAACCTTCTATTTTTCCATCCATAGTTCAGAGATCATAAAAAAATATTTTCTGATGATAAATATATACCAAAAACATGAAAATAACTGAACCCTCTTAAGAAGGATATATAATTTAATTACAAGAATACACCAGAGTCTACATTAAATGAAATTAAATAACTTAAAAGGTAAAAAACAAAGAGTAAACACAGTATTTATGGGACATACATCACTGAACACCAAAGCCTACCAAACTTGTGTCCAAATCCCCAGGAGATAAGCTGATTTCATCTGGAGAGGTGACAGAAGAGCGTGTAGTCCTTGGAGTTCTTGGAGAAGGTAGTGTGTCCCAGGCATTATACCCACTTGGCGGTGGAGTCGGCATTTGAACACCTGATCGTTGGCAGCAGTTCTCTGGGTTGGACATCCAAGCTTCAAGTAATTTCTCCCTGTCCCAATCTTTAAAAAAAATGGAATGGATGTCTCTCAAAACCCAGAAAAATATGTTTTAAGTTACAGCTATGCAATACCAAAAGAAAACATGAGGATAAATACAGTTACCTGAGGAAGAAAAATTATTTATATTGAAGTAGTCAATGTTGTCAGCAGATGAAGGTCCAGGTATCTGTTTTCTATTAATGTTTTTTTTCCACAGAATTTAAACTCTTTTATAACTTAGTATAGCTTACAACAAGGTCAATATCTAATAATAAGGCTAATATCTACTGTTGTTGTATGTTGTAGAGTTGGTTCCAACTTGTAGAGACCCTGTATAGAGTTCTTAAGGCTGTAAATCTTTATGGGAGCAGAAAACCTCATCTACCTTTTCAGAGTGGCTTGTGGATTTGAACTGCTGCCCTTGAGGTTAGCAGCCTAATGTGTAACCCACTACATCACCAGGGCCCCTAATATAAGCATTAGTTTCTATGAATAATCAAAAGAGGGGACTCATATATTACTTCTTGAATTTGTTTTAATGTAGGATTAATTTTGCCTTTTAACTCTTTAAAGAAAATTACGCAAATTTGCAATTGACCTCACTAGTGTCAAGTTGTAAATGATTATACAGTTCATTATGAACATGTTCAAATACCAATATTATGTTCTAAAAATCATTTGATAGACAGCTTATTTGTTGTTGTTGTTAGGTGCCATCCAGTCGGTACCGACTCATAGCAACCTTATGCACAGCAGAACGAAACACTGCCCAATCCTGGGCCAGTCTTACTACTGCTGCCATGCTTGAGCCCATGGATGCTGCAATTTTGCCAATTCATCTATCTGACAGTGTTTCTCTGCTATTCATAAGGTTTTCAGTGACTAAATATTCGGAAGTAGTTCGTCACTCCTTCTTCCTAGTCTGTCTTTGTCTAGAAGCTCATTTGAAACCTGTCCACCATGGGAGACCCTGCTGGTATTTAAAATACTGATGGCATAGCTTCCAGAATCACAGCAACTCACAAGCCACCGAAGTACAACAAACTGACAGACGAGTGGTGGAGGCAGCTAATAGGTAGAGGGAATTGCTTAAGGGAATCCTAGATATCATAAAGTTTTAATGAATTATTAACTTTGTATTAGTATTAAGTAAACCCATATCTGGCTTATCTAGAGAAGACCATCTTTCTATCATGAACACTCTTAAAATGGTCAAGTGAGAACGTTATGATAAGTGAAGAGTCATAAAAACCTAAGTGCTCTTCTTTTAAAAAATATATACTTCATTGTTTTGCTAGGTATTTAACACATACTGTTTTTGTTTTTTTTTTTTAATTCCTCCCAACAAACTCTACAATTATTATTTAGGTGAAAAAACTCAAGACTCAGGGAAGTTACCTTGGCCCAACCTCACACCTACTGAAGAATCTGACACCAGTTTCTGCTATTCCAAAGTGTGCATTCTTTCCACTATGTTGTTACTATGTGCCGTTTAGTTGATTCCGACTAACATTGACCCTATATAGGTTTTCTGAGAGTAGGTGGTAGGTTTGAACTGCCCATCCTCTGGTTATAAGTCCAGTGCTTATCCTATAGCACCACACAAAGACTCATTCTTTCTCAAGACTATTAAAGGGTAAAATTATTTACTGTAGGCCAATTCCATACAAATATATAACTAAAATACAAATTGCTGTTTTTATTAAGTGCTGCTGAGTTGGTTCTAATTCACACTGACACTGTATAGAGTTTCCAAGAAGCAACTAACTGGTGAGTTAGAACTACTGACCTTGTGGTTAGCAATCCAGGGTTTATCCTATAGCACACAGCTACAGAAATTTCCTGTACAACACCTTTTTTCTAACCATATTAAGTAGATGCATTTGGTGGTTTAAGAGGATAAATTTAACTTAAACATACAAAGACTGGGAGAGAGTATTTCCAGTTGAGGAAACCACATGCATTTAAAGACACAGAGGCATAATGAAGAAACCTGAATGCTTCTGTTAAATTAGAGTTTAGGATGTTGCAGTTTGGAGAGGTGAATAATAACACTAGAAATAAGGCTCAGATTACAAAGGGGAGGAAAACTAAGAACTGAAAAAACCTGTATATAAGTGTACTTCAGCAAATGTTGCTAAATGAACCTCAGATATCTTGTTAAGAGCGTCGAGTTGATTCAGACTCATAGCAACACTATAAGGTTTCCGTAGAGCGGTTGGTGTGTTTGAACTGACAATACTGCCGTTCAAACCAACACTATGGTTCAGTACTTATCCTACAGCATCACACTAGGACTACAGATAAATCATTATATACTGATTAAGATCATTATATAAAATTTCACTTTCTTTCACTATTGCTGATTACCACTACAAATTTGGCTTACTTTCCATACATTGCATTAGAAAACCACACTTTCTACTTCTATTACAATTTATATATGAACATATGTCTCATAATTCAGGGCATATGTATACACACATATATACTCGTATATACATGCATACATACACACACACATACACATATATAATAAGCATTTATATTTCCCCAAAACATCTATGACTTTTACTTCTAAAATACATGGCATACAGTTTGACAAACATACTAATACATCTTATCAATAGAAAAGCATTTTAATTAAAAAAAAGCAATCTTCTATCTGAATAGCATTTATAGAAGAATAACTAGAGATAAGAATGCTAAATAAAGACTACATCCCTGCTGGAATTTCTCATAAAAATTCATTTCTTACCTGACGACTCTTAGTACTGATGACATCATATCATGAGGAATTCTTAAATACTTGAGGGATATGCAGATACTTATATATATGGTAATTGAGTGGTAATGAAGATAGGCGAACATGTTTATTGCTTTTAAACCAACTATAGAGATTTACAGTTGTATTAGGCAAAATTATTGTCATGTATTAGGCAAAATTCCAATGATTTCTGAATGTAAGGGTACTTGATATGAAGACTCCTTTCCTTTTTGTTGGTATTTTGAGTTGAGAGTTACTACCTCCGTGAGTATAGGTCAGGTTCATCAAATTGTAGCAATTTACCCTTGTTTCCTTTATCCAAAAAAAAAAAAAAAAAAAAAGGGGGGGGGGGTAATCTTCCTCTAGTTGAGTTCTGATTATCAAGCCATCGAGGCTAGGTCAAATGGGTACTTGTCTGCAAGTCTGGGTTTTCTTGCGCATCTCCCCTCACTTCATATCAGCTGAATGCTTCACTCTCAGCTCTAGCCCTCTGTAGCTATGTTCTTGTCCATGGGCTCAAGTGTCCACAGGTCTTACCACACTTTGGACCAACCAGGCCTTCCTCTTTTCTCTCTCATCTCCAGGTCAATGGGAGTCAATGGACTGGGGTTGAACTCAGCCCATTTCTTCATTACTGTTTTTCCCCTTCTTTCATTCACCAATAGACCAAAGTTGTTGCTAGCAAGCTCACATGCATGTTCATGTGTTCCCTTTGAGTCTCAGTCTTAGAGGGGAGTTTGTCCTGAAGGAACTTGATTGCTTGCCTTGATAGCTTCCTGGCGAATAGCTTGCTTATTTGTGTAGTAGCCAGTCATGCTGATATTTTTGTTTTGGGTTTTTCCTGATGATCTTTCTTTGAAGATATATCTTCTGTTGCTCTAGCTGTTCCAGGCTGGTCTGCTTGTCCTTGCTAGTGGGAATGTCCCACACCTCATAAGGTTCTGGATGGGACTCAGGATTCCACCTAAGGTCCTATACTCTGCAAAGGCTTTGCAAGAGGCCTATTTCACTGGGCAAGTTCTAGAACCCCTTTTAGGTATTCTAATCAGTTATAGGCTGAAGACGGGCTTACAAATTTTCTGTAATCAGGTTTCCCAACATTCCTTTCTATCCCACTCAAGCGTCTATTTTACAATAGTAGGCAAGGGAAACCAATATTCATAAGACAGTCAAGCATTTTAGTATTATTTCTCCTCTTCAAACTATGCCTAGATCTCTGTACCACAGAGCCCTGTTGTCCCAAGTTTGAGAATGCATCACTATTTACCTCTGTCCTACTTAGGCCATGCAAACCTGTCTCAGTGTTCCTCTATCTTATTCTTCCACCTTCTCCCTTTCTTGTATTGTCCTCCCCAACACCCAAATTAAACCCCCTATCCCAGCCCCACTTTTGTGATTATCTTATATTCCATTAATTCTTCCCTCCATTTAAGACAGTCTATTTTATTCTGTAATCTACCTGACATTCTCATCATCTGAATTTCTGTTTCTCTGTTGACCTTCTTTCACATTGTAATTGTTTTGATCATAGACTAACCTCCCAGATCTTCTGTTCTTATAATTTTACTCTGTTCTTGACTCTCTCATTTGTCAATTGAGTTTAGGGTGATGCTGCCATATACGTCATTCTCTGGTTGTCTGTTCTCGTTCCACAGATTTTCTTTAAGGTGTTTTCCATAGGAGGGTTGCCTTGGCAAAAACGCTTAGATTCTGTTTATCCTGGAGTGTTTTGATTACACCATCGTACTTGATTGACAACTTTTCTGGGTAGAGGATTCTTGGCTGGCTGTGTTTTTCTTTCAGGGTTTTATATATGTCTCCCCACTGCCCTCTTGCCTACTTGGTTTCTGTTGAGAGATCTGAGCTTATATATCTTGGTGACTGTCTTTTAGGGTCTATCCTTCCTGGGGTTCGTTAAGCTTCTTGAATGCATATCTTTTCGCTTTTCAGGATGTTAAGGAAATTTTCTTCCAGCAGCTCTTCAACTATCTCCTCTGTGGATTTGTGTGATTCTTCCCTGTTCTGGAATGCAGGTAATTCTTAAGTTATTCCTCTACATGTTGTCCAACATGAATCTTAGGCCTTCTTCAGGTTTTTTTTATCCTTTTTTCTGCTTGCTTTTCTTAGTTGACAGCTTTATCTTCTAGCTCACTAGTTCTGGCTTCTATCTCTTCAATTCTACTCCTTTGCCCTTTCAGTGTATTGTCCAATACTGATATTATTAATCATTTGGACCTCTTTCTGTAGACTCTGA